ATATATATATATATTGTAATGATATGTAACACAAGTGTCCCACAAATTAGCTATCATTGCACAAGTAAATCAGTAAGGGCAGATTCACATGTGAATATGTCTGGAAGTCTTCGCAGAATCAAGACCTATATTAGCAGATCTGAACGCGGTCTTGATTTGTTGACCAATAGTTCTGAACCACACATTATTAAAGTTCATCATACTGCGAACCGAGGACCAACTCTAATTTCTTCCTTCTGTGTACAGGGTCAAGGAGCCTCTCTTCCTTACCTGATATTCTCAAGTTAAAGAAAAAGACTGAAAATGGCAGAAACAGTTCTCTCTTTTGTGTTAGATCAGCTCTCAATTTTTCTGCGTGAAGAGGGCAGATTATTGGGAGGGCTTCGCCAAGAGGTTCAACTCATCAGCGATGAGTTGGGGCACATGAGAGCTTTCGTGGGAGTGGCAGAAGCAAAAGAAGAAGGTGCTGATCCCAGGCTCCAAGAATGGATCAAGCAAGTACGATAAGCCGCTTATGACACTGAAGATGTTCTTGATGAATTCGTAGCTCGCTTTGCTCACCATCATGCAACAGGGTTCTATGGCTCTTTTAGGAAAATTTTCAACTCCGTGAAGACTTTGCGAGCTCGTCGTAAGGTTGCTGAGCAAATACAGAGCATCAAGGCCAGAGTAAAGAATATATCTGAAGGGCGTCAGAGATACCAATCAGAATTCGGCGGTACTTCCCAAGCGGCCGGGTCTCTTGCTGCTGTCAACAACACATGGGTCTATAGCAGGGATGATGCACTTCTCGTGGAAGAAGCTGAACTAGTTGGCATTGACAACCCCAAACAACAGCTAATTTCTCAACTACTCGAGGGGGATGATTCCCAACTCAAAGTTGTTTCTGTGGTTGGCATGGGAGGACTCGGAAAAACTACCTTAGTCAAAAAAGTCCACGAAGATTTAGATATTAGAAGGCATTTCCCAGTTCGTGCCTTTGTAACTGTCTCTCAACCATGCAACTTCCAGGAGCTCCTGAAAGACTTGACTCGGCAGTTACACAATGATTTGAAGAAACCAGTTCCGGAATCGATTGAGGCAATGACTGCATATCAGCTGAAACTATGTGTTAAAGATTTTCTTCAACAAGCTGGAAGGTATGCAATTGTGTTCGATGATGTATGGGACGTGGAATTCTGGAATGCGATTAGATTTGCACTGCCCGAAAATGGCTATGGCAATCGCGTCATGCTAACAACACGAAAGGCCGATGTAGCCTCTGCTTCTTGTAACAAATCTCAAGATTATGTCTACAAAATGGTGGCACTATCTTTCGAAGATTCATGGACCCTATTTTGCAACAAAATTTTCAAAGGAAATGGTTGTCCTGCCCATCTAACAGATGTTGCAAAAGGTATATTGGGGAAATGTGAGGGATTGCCCCTTGCGGTTCTTGCAATCAGTGGGCTTTTGGCTTTGAAAAATTTGAATATTGCAGAGGAATGGGAGATGGTTCGACGCAGCCTAGTGGGTGAATTAGAAGGCTCTGGTATGCTGGACAGGGTCAAAAAGATACTTTCTCTCAGTTACAATGATCTGCCCTGCCATCTTAAGACCTGTTTGTTGTATTTAAGCATTTACCCAGAGGATTTTGAGATACGTTGTCATAGACTTGTTCAATTATGGTCAGCTGAAAGATTTGTAGGTGAGAGAGAAGGAATGACAATGACAGATGTAGGCTACAATTACCTCAGAGAACTTGTCAATAGGAGCCTAATTCAAGTGATTGAAGGTTTTTATGAAGGAATCCCCTACACTTGTCGAATCCATGACCTAGTGCGAGAAGTTGTTCTTTCCAAGGCAAGGGAACAAAATATGATCGCAATTACTACTGGACAATACACAAAGTGGTTATCTGAGAAGGTACGCCGTTTGGTAGTCCATAGTAGCAGCAACAACACCGAGCAGCACCAAGAAAGCCAATGTTATAGCTTTAACCACCTTCGATCCTTTATTACGATTGAATCCATGAATCCACTGATATCCAGAACCTTGTTATCAGAAGTTTTAAAGAGTGGCAGATTGTTAAAGGTTTTGTATTTGTGTGATGAAGAGACATTGGAGGAAATCCCAAATGAGATTTTCAACTTGTATCATCTCAGGCATCTGAACCTACTTAGGACAGGAGTTAAAGCAGTCCCGAAATTCATAGGAAAGCTTCGAAATTTGGAGTATTTGAATTTGGGTGAAACTCAAGTCAGGGAATTACCCGTGGAAATCCTGAAGCTACAAAAGCTTGAGCATCTTATAGTATACCAAAAAGTTGATTCTTCTGATGACAGTCAAGGATATCATGGGTTTAAAGCTCCACCAAAATTGGGAGGACTTCTTGCCCTACAATCATTAACAGCCATAGATGCGAGTAGCGGATCCGTAGTAGTTAAAGAGATAGGAACATTGACTCAATTAAGACAATTAGGGATTTCAAATCTGAGAAGAGAAGATGGAAAGGTGCTCTGCTCCTCCCTCGCCACCCTCACTAGTCTTCGGCAACTAAACATTGCTTCAATTAGAAATGATGGTGGTGATTATGAGGTAATGGATCTGAATCATCATCATCAACAACAACATTCTCGTTCATCTTCGATGCCTTCTTCATTTCTCCAATCTCTTCGTATGCTAATATTGTATGGCCGCTTAGAAAAGATGCCGAAATGGATAGCTCATCTTGAAAGCTTGGTAAGAATAGATTTGAGGTGGAGCAGTTTAAGGGTTGAAGAGGATCCGCTTGAACCCCTCCACCATTTGTCAAATTTGGTAACTATTCAATTTTTTGGATCTTACCAAGGAGAGGGGTTGTGTTTCAAGGCTGGAGGATTCCTGAAGTTAAAGGATTTGTACCTAAAGAAATTAGAGAAGTTGAAATGGCTGAAAGTGGAGGAGGGTGCATTACCCAGTCTCCACGAACTGCGTCTGCATTCACTTCCATTGCTAGAGGAGTTACCTTTGGGAATTCAGCACTCAAGGAATCTTCGAAAGCTGTATTTGTCTGAGTTGAGTTCTCAACTGATGGAGAAGTTAGAGAATCTAAATGAAGAGACTGAAGATTATAAAAAAATTGCACACGTTTCTGAAGTTGTCATTGAATTGTGGACAGATGAGGAGGGATGGAGACTGCACCGGCTGTGGGGGAAGAAGATGTAAATATTTCCTTCCTATTTCTTTTTTTTTTTTTTTTTGCACGTTTGTTCGTAACTTCTGAGTTTATAATTTGCTTTATCTTTTATCTTATTGTATAAATATTGTATTGCATAATCTTGTTTATATACGGTATTGCACTCTATATATATATATTTTTTTTTGCTTGTTTATTTTTTCTTTAATTGATTTAGCAAATAATATAGAGGTTGTAGGTTAGAACACACAATTTCAAGATACAAAATTAAAACATGAAGCCTATGTTTATACGCTGGTATGACTTAGAAATTGATTTCTCTAGTAATTAATAATATAGTAATTTTTGGACAAATAATGGTTGTATCAGTCCTCTATGCTCATCCATCCGTCCTTTTGTGACAAATATTCTCAAGTAAGTTATTTTCAATATTATGTATGAATTAATATTATGCCCAACTGCTATGTATGAATTAATATTATGTCAAAGATATGACAAATCGAATTTTTCTGATGTGTTGGACACTCAAAATGTGAATCCTAGTCAAATATTTTCTTTTTAGTCCATCTTTATCTTTGATGAGTGCACAGATTGGCAGAAAAGAATTGTCTTCTAATATGAAGTGAGAGAGTAAGCATGTATTGGTAAGTTTAAAAACTGGAGTCTTGAGTTTTAAGAAATGACTAGAGGTGAATCATATTGTTGAAGTTGGTTAAGAGGAGAGGCATGGTAAATACCGGTACAAAGGTAAATTATGGTAAAACAGTAATCTTTTAATGTGAATGGATAGGAAAAATTTGTGCCTTCTTGACAGATACTTGTTAATAATTTTAGTCCATCCTACAAAGGTCTACTTCTAAATCACTTTTATTCCTTGTTATTGGACTCCATCATAGGTTGTTCCAGACGCAATAATTTCTTTTTCTATGAATTCATAATCGATTGTTTGCACTATAATGCCCAATACACCAAGGTTCATTTTTAAACCAACAAAATTGAAGTTGCTAAAATTGAGAACTTCTACATCACCGCTATAATTTCTTCTTGTGATGAATACTCGTGTAATACATCACAATCTTGTTTTAATACTTGCTACTATTTGTTGATGAATGCAGTCATATTCATAGTCAATATTTGTAAGGCAATACAGAAATATAAAAACCAAATAATAGTGCTTTGTTTGGAAAGCAATTTTTCTCCAAAAAAATTTTAAGTTTTTTGTGAATATATTTTTGAATCACCTTTTTATCTCGCACGCATTAAATCGTTACAACGCATTTTTTATGTAAAAATTCTAGAAAATAACAATCCAAATGAGACGTTTAGTGTCCTTAAAACACAAATACTGCTCGACATTATCTGGGATTGTCACAGACTATGGCGTTATATAACAAACTAACACAGAGAAATAGGAAAGCTCAGGTCTAGTAATTATGGCCTCGGATTAATAATTTTGAAGTTTCAGGAAAGAATTGAGAGTACTCCAGAAACATATAGGCTAAAATTTTGTGCGGCTATTCTTTGCCTAGACCTAAATCAATTCATTCCATAGATGCAATTCGTGCCAGTGATTATTGGTGCAACTTATGGACAAGAAATCTTTGATCTGATAGAGCTCAAATTACTTCAATTACTGAAGGCCTGTTTAAGCTTTCATACAGCTCTTGATGAAAAGCCATAAAACAGTCTTTTTCCACGCTGCAAAAGACGTACACCTAAAGGAAAAGATTACAAGACATGACAAATCATATCAAATGATGCTAATAGGAGACTTAGATGTACAGTCTGCCCCTCCCCGCAAACTACGCACAATGCTACCACATAAATCTCAGTATGTACCAAATAGAAAACAAATGATTGCTGGTATCAATTACCAAAAGTAAGCTAAATGTTGAAGTACCATTTGAAGCTGCATCTGTGTGTGTGTGTGCAGAACTCTAGAGAGAAAGTGTCTGAGATTTATATTTTACAAGTCATGTAACTTGTAATGATGCCTACAACTGTCAAAATTACGTATTTATATCATATCTAACCAAATTCCTTGCATCCTACGCATCATAGGATGCTTTTCCCTGAAAATTCCTAGAAAGTTCCATGCAAACGTAGGATGCTTTTCCATGCAACACTTTCCGAGAAAAATTCTATGCAAACAACTCAAAGGGAAGAAGGTCAACCCAATACCAGGAAGGATTCAGACGATTCAGATATTGCCGCATCATGGGTCTGATTCATGTGTCTCTATCCTTCAAGTTGACTAAACCAGTCTGTAATTGTTCTTGTGAGGACTCTAGTGTCATTCAAAGAAATTGTCTTAAGGCCTTGAGCAACAGCATCTACAGGCGAGTATATATCTCCCACTTGCCATCTAGGTTCCTGATCGTCCAACAAAACAAAATTTCAGCATAAATGGAGAATAAAAAGAAGAAATTTAGTTAAGAGAACAATCGTTGACCATGTCATTGTTCTGATTACCGTGCCACTTTCCAATTTTTTATCAAAAGTAACTTAAAGATCATGCTAAATAATACATACACAATTGGCACAAGATACAAGGCGCAGCACAACATGTCAGCATAAATTCCCAGAAAGCAAAGGACTAAAGATTATGATACAAAAGGAGTACAAAGTTACTGCAGCGTACCTGTATGCAAGGTGTAATATGAGTTCCATTCAATATTATTTTCTGTAGTTTTCCGCCAATAGATTCCACTCGAGGCTTCAGTGTCTCTTCAAGAATATCAGTCTCATAAATTGCATCAATATTGAACTTGACCTGAAAAAAGAATCAGATAGACTAAAAAGTGAACATTGAAGTTGGAGCAATTCAATCAATTATTGTACTTGAATAACATGCTCAAACCAGAAATGTATGCTGAACACTGTATGACTTCTGGAAACAGTCGAGATTCTCAGAGGGTGTTAGCCTGAACTCTGAAATTCCTTCAGCAAGCTGAAGTAACATCCATTGAGGCAGATTGAGGATTAGAGAATGACCAGAAGACAGAAAGCAACAAAGCCATTTCACCATTTGACAGATAAATGATGGAGATATAGACATGTTCAGCCACAAAGGTGGCAGGATTTGTTTTCCAGGTTGGATAGGCATCATCATGTAAGTGGGATGTCACCTGATTAAAAACAGCTGGCAACTGATCAACAAACTTGTTGACTGAAACTGCCCCTTCCGGATTGTAATTTGGAATCATGGTTCCAGCAGTATCGAGTAGTACCTTCCATGCATCTGCTGTATATTAGTATCAATGACAGGAGAAGGCATTAGAATCAGAAAGATGACACAAGCAATTATTCAACCAAATCAGCCATATGTCTTCAATCAAATGAAGCATTGTATCATACCTATGAAAAAAATCCCAATTTGATTTTAAAACCAGTACCAGGATATTTTCATTACTACTTGAAGGCTTGCCTTGGTTTACAGAGATACCTTATATTTGGTAATTGTGAAACTTGGGGAGGATTTAATAGAAGTTTAAAAAATAATAATTTCAAGGTCTTGAATTGATTTCTGTTTCTTGTAAATCATAAAAAATGAAAGGACAAGTTAATTATATGTCACTCTTGTGCTCTATTGCTTCTTCATGAATAATAAAGTACACGAAACTTAACTATTGTTTGCAAGTAAATATCTCTGTATTCCCTAAGACCCTAAAAATAATATTCTACTCCCTCGACACAAAATAGAAGACCGATGTTTTAGATGATCTAAAGGCTGACATCAAAACACTTGATGCATTAAGTTTCTCTTCTTGATAAAGCCCAGTTTTCAAGCATCATTCTGCATCGCATTGTTATAAAAGCTTTATGCACCATTAGCTTGATCAAGGATTAAATATATACACTACTTGCTTCAGTGTCCATCATGCTCATATCTTCAGGAATAAATGAGAAACAACATTATGTGGGTTATGTGAAGGAAGGACTTAGGAGGACTCGTAGATTACAGCCTAGCATATGCAGACTCCCCAGTCCCGGGGTGGGGGGAAGCCTCTATGGTTCAGGAAAATAATGTTTAGGCCACACAAGGAATTAACTGTTAGTAAACATTTGCAAAATTAAGAAAAAGAAACCAAATGCAAGAGTACAAATTCAATTATAGTTAATGATTCATTTTCTTTTTCTAATTTCTAATTATTAAGTTTTGTACAAACCGAAAAAATTATTTTTTGTTGTTACTGCTACACTTGCTATCTACAATGAAAATGCACGTATTAACATTTGAAAGTTGCAATGAAGTACACTCTCTGCAAAATGTCAAATAATGTCCCCTTTTTTTAATGTAAGTGGGAGGGCTTGAACCTGGGATCTCTCACTTACTCTCCCTCCCCTCCCCCCCCCCCCAAAAAAAAAATCAAATAATGTCTCATTTTCTGTTTAATGCAGATAGTGTTGAGGCCTCTTTCAAAGCATTAAAATGGAATCAGGACCAAAGAGCACTTGTATGCCTGGGTAATCTTGCGTATGTTTCAAGGCCTCAGAAAATAACATTTGCAAGAAGATTCTCTTTTAGCATATCTATAAGGAAATCAAGGGTAGAGACACTTCAGCAAACTATAGTTCCAAATAACTGGTCTTCAGGAACCCAAAGAGTTGCACAGGACAGGGAATTAGTATAAGATTAAATCAAACTGGTGGTACCTATTCAAATTTTGTCCAATACGGTAGATGTACTCATCCTCCATTACATTAACAGAAGGTTTGTTTTCTGAATAGAAGAGAAAATGAAAAAGGTAAATAAACATTGGCAAGAATGTCACAACAGTCACACGAACTACTCAATTAAGTGCAGATAGAAAACTACCCAACCATGTTGAGTGCAGATCGTCAATCTGTGGATAATAAAGTTGGTACCTACAACTAGAAGCTTTGATTTGGCTACAAATTCATGATATCCACACATTAGTAGCTCCACAAGTATTTGTGTCGACACAAATTGTAGGATACAATTTCTACAGCATGCCTTGCTAGTTTCTGAAAAGCCTAAGACCTACCCCTCATTCTTGAGCTATCTATGACCATCAATAGAGTTCTTCTATATAAACCACCTCATAGGTAACCAGTTTTCCACTCTGTTGTTTAACACCCTTATACAGAACTTAACCCTAAAAAGTTAGACTAACTCAAAGAAAATAGTTCTACACTATCACTGCAATTTACAATAGATAAATAAAACAGAACAGGAACATTCCCTACCACCCCATCCCTTCTTCCACTGCACCAATACTCATCAGTTTACAACACAAATTCCTCCACCTAACCCAAAGTACAAGTTAGATCACAGGAAGGTGAGAGCAAAAATGACCTTCAAGAGTCCAAACAAAGCCACTCTGTTTCTAATCAAAGCTAATGTCAATGGTTATTATAATAACAACAGAGGGATTGATTTGGCAATTTCTCAGTAGGCTGCTTTTGTAAAGAGCATCCAATTAATCCAGGGATTCAAAAGATTTCTATTAGACTAACGCAGCATTGATGTATGAGTAGGTAAAGCAACATAACTAATAATGTTTAATTTTAAAGGAGTATTAAGAAAATTAAGAAACCTTTCACTGTGATCAACCTGAGGCATTTCGAGTGAATGAATATAGTACTGGAGACGCTTCCATAATTGGAAATATTTGACTGACAAGAGGTCCTAATTGCATCATAGCATAATACAACTTCAAAAATGAGGAATGTTACAAAAGCAATATTAGTTCTTTGAGAGGCAGTAGACAAAATTTGACACGGATTCTAAAGCAAGGGCTGAGAAACTGGAGCCCTACCAATTGAACGAGTACAGTAACAACTCATCATATAAGCATATTTATAATCAACTCCACCTTGGTATATAAGATTTAAAATGAAATTAAAGTTCAAAAACATATGACAAAATTGATCCACCAAATCTCAGGGTATAATATTTATGCAATATCAAAATATAAATTAAACAAACTAGATAAATGTTTAGATCCAAATTTCCATATAATCCTCAATGTTGATTGGCTCCAGTTCAACCATCAACTATAATGTTGTTTACATCAATTCCCTTTTATACTGAACTAATTTGTATTCTTGAATGAATGGAAGACTGATATGACTTCGCCATTTGGATGAATAATAATTGGTGAACAGTTCAGTATAAGGACAAAATTACAACAATCACAAATGAACAAAAGTGCGTTAGTTGCTGTAGAAGCCATCAGCAAGCAGAAGCATAGATGCTAAAACTCAAAGCAGAAAGATCTAGAAATGAAGTGCAAAGTCAGTAATATGCACAGACATACCATTTCCACAAATATATGCAATCCACTATGGACACTCTTTTAATTTATAAACTGCATATTACACTTTCTACTTCACATTTTTTTCCCTTTATTTTCTGAGTTGCTACGTTCAGTTACCATTTGTCCTGTTTCACTTATAAGTTTACCCATTTTCTTGCTCCCTGTAACGTCACCAATTATTTCCTTTCCAAAAAAAAATCTTCACTTTACATCAACTTCATGGCATAGCTGAAGCAATATAAGTTACTCACAATCCACCCATTATATGAGCATATACTATCTGAAATATTATAAAAAATTTTCTTTGTTAATTGACAGTCATAGTATGACATTGATGTGATGGCACCTTTACATTCCTTTATGCATTAGCATTTTCATGTTTGTTTTAACATTTTACATCTTATACATATTCCAATGTAAAGGGAATAACATGACAATTAAGGAGATTTTGAGGATGATAGGCATGTGATCCGACACAATGGGTCATGTATACATCTTTCGACAACTAAGATGTTATCATCCATAGGATTATTGAAGGATTAGTAGAATTGCACTTGAAAAAGGTAATAAACTCATGCCATGGCTTGATAATGAAAGCAATCTTAGTAGCTAAAGAGCCCTTCATCCACCAAGTATGCTCTCACAAATGGCAGCAGCTGGATAAATGTCAAATATCTACAGGACATGACTTTTACTTCACTGGTGGGGGAGGGCTTAGAGTGCAACGCTTCACCAACATCTACACTCACAAATCATAGAGTTCCCTGTTCATGAACTCAGACAAAATACATCAGTCAGTTGCATCGCTATCATAGATCCTCAATAGAAACCACGATTCTTTTAAATTTACCCTATATATATATTGGTTGGAAGATTTAGAAAGGCAATGAAAGAATAGGCTGTTTGCCTGGTGAAATTTGAGCTGAAATTAGATTTAAGAAGTAGAGGTTAAATAGAGATTAGGAGAGGTAAAGGGCAAAAGAAAGGAAGGAAGGAAAGATGACTACTAAGACTTCACAGGTAAGAGACTAAGAGGGGTTTTGTTCTGAAACTTTCTTGATTCAAACTCACTCTCATTTACAAAAACTAATGCAAGCTATTCAAAGAGTCTAAAACAGCAACCTAAAAGCTTTCTCTTGTAAAAAAAAGCAGCCGTTCAAGAGTAGAGTCTGTGGCAATTGTTGTCCACTACAATAGTAGCTATGTAGGATGACCATTGAACTCCCAACCATGGGTGTTCTTTGAAAGTCCACCCATGCCTGCCCATTGGACTTCCAATCATGCTTTACCCTTAGACTTCCACTACTAGTTTCAAGTACAGTATCATTATCAGGCAGCCAACTACTTACCAACAAAAGTTACAGCAAAAAGCTCAACAGTTGCACACTGAAAATTGGCAAATGAACCACAATCTGAATCTTAAATCAAATCCAGAGCTAAAAGATTGTGAAACTGAAGTTTTTTTTCCTTCGATATATTGATGTCTTTCATGTCTTGCGTCACACTAGCTAAGCCATGGCTACAATTATTTGATCCACCCTAGAGCACCATTACCTGTTACCTGCTTGGCATAGTATGCAGCAGCTCTTATGTCACATGGTCGGAACTAAGAGGGAAACAAAATGCCCTATATACAAATCGAAAAGGATGATTTTACAAACTAATCTTATTATCCATAGTAAAAATGATATATATGAAAGAATACCCAAATCTAAGCAAATTTGTCAGATAGCACTGAAATGAATCAATTTGCAGGATTCAACTAGGGTGCAGGTGCAACACCAACTTCTACACTCACGAGTTGCTGCCATCCTGTGCATGAACTCATACAGACTATTTCAGCAAGTGGCATAACACAGATGCATCCTGATTCACTAAACATTGTTTTGAACTATTCATTCTACCCATAGAAGTCCATTCCCAGCTTCACATATTACATAACAGCTCTTTAGTCATTATGAGCCAGCCAGGAAGAATTGTAATCCCCAAAGGTTTTTGGGCTCTTGAAGGGTGGCCTTCAAGAGTTCATGGCCACAACTGTATAAGAAAAGGAAATCCCCATCCATGTTCCTTGGAAGCCAGTAAAAGCCAGAACTAGGAAAATGAAAGAAACTAAAGCAGAAACTGCAAATTTTTCCTTCCTCAGGAGCATTGCATGAATAGCCCAATTTATGGCAGTTAGAGATGAAGGGGGCAAAAAGGGCAATTTTCTTTCTTTTTTGTGTGAAGGAATAAGGGTAAGTACTGTAAATACTTAAATAAAGAAAGACCTTTAGCGTTGAAATAAATAAAAAATTAGCAAACATCCAATTTAATAAAGATTAATTGCTCAACTTCAACAGCAAAAAAGGTTAAAAGCCACCTTTTTTTTATTTTTGGATAATCAGGATAACAGCTAAGCCCCTTAAATTAGCATTGGAACAGAATTACCTGCTCAAAGTATGGTACTGCCTCCGACGCTGGCCTGTTGTTGTATGATATTATTGCATTTGCCTTCATTGAGAGACAAGTATAACATTCATTAAGTCAAAAAGTACTAAACACTGAACTATGGTGCATTTTCACACATTAAAGCTGCAAAAGCATAACTTTTTAGTTATATTTTTCTTATCTTAATTAAGTTCAATTTTGGTTAAGCACTTATGAAACTTTGGAAGAAAGAAGGAACCTTGGGTATCTTCTCACAAAAAAAACTTCCAGTAAGCACTTGTAGAAGTGCACCATTGCTGCATTATAGTTAAACCAAATAACATCAAAGATAGTTTCGTGATATGATTGAAATAAAAGTTAGATAAATTACATAGCATTTTAGGCATGGTTATCTATAACGGAGTCTCATCGGAATGAAACTTAGGAGTACTAGCGAGGTTTTTAACCTTGAAGTGTTCTTCATCACCCTCACCATTTCAAATTAAACGTTCCCAGCATTTTGTTAATTCAATCAGTCACAAGTTCCTCCAATCTACCCAAGCTTAACTCGATCATCTTACGTTCAAAAAACAATTCATTGGAAAACTATCCCATGTTCAGCTCCAAAACAGCTTTACTGAACCTCTACTATGATAAAATGAATGTTGCTCTGAAGGTTAGCAGCTCCAATACACATTGATGTAAAGATTCCTCAAGAAAAAAAGAGGACATGCCTAACATCCTCGGGACAAAGTATATCATTGAACATACAAACTAACGTTAGACAACACAATTAAGGCTTTATGAAGTTTAATTTGTGATCATTAATGCTCAATTAACCTCCACTCACCTATGGTTTCTGTGTTTCAAGAATTAATCCAAGGATTAATCTAATATAGTGTGTTAAAACTGTAGTTGGACAAGCAAGTTGCCACATATATTAATCCAGAAATTAAATTAAAATGTTCCATCCCAGAAATCTAACAGCACTTCATCAAAATAGCAAAAAAAAAAAAAAAGACATGAAAATTATCAACTATAATAGTCAAGTTTGAAACAGAGTAAATTGTTGATTGACCTGTAAGTAACTTCAGGGACAGCTCCAACAAAAGCACCTCCCAAAAATTTAATAATGGCTTTGGGTTTTTTCCCTCTTGGAGGAGGAATGACCAAACAAGACTCAAGCCTGTCGTAAATTCTACCATTATGATTCACAAAAGAAGTGTTCTTGAAGCTATTGGGTTTAACCATTTTCATTTGGGTCCTGCAAATTGTCATTTTTGAGGGTCTTGCGCAATTCTCAGTGGGGAAAACCCCTCTGGAGAGATAATTGAGAAAAGGGCTTTCTTTAAATTTGTTGATTCTTGGAATTTGTTGAGAATGGAAGTGGTGCTAGCCACGGCGGCCATGGCCGGCCTTCTTCACTCGGAGGTTCTAGTTGGGTGTTGGGAGGGGAAATTTGGAGCTAAAATTGTGAAGCGCGGGAGGCAGTACCTGGCATTTTAATTGCGCCTCCTTTGTGTCCGCTACATTTCCTATTTAGATTTGGAGTCTCCATTTTAGTGGATTTTGTGCATTTGTTTGGTGATAATTGAGTAATTGTCTAATTTCTCCTTTTTTTTTGGCCTTACATGCAATTTGTGTCTTTGAGTCTTTTTTTTTTTTGGTCAAAAATCATTTGTATTGTATTAGTGTAGTAATCATCTATGTATGCATGTACAATTAAGAGACTACTGATTGTAAAATTTAGATGTGTCTCTATTTTAAGGTGCACATGAATTATACTTCACATTTAAGATTGGGTAAATTATCTTTTTATTCTCCTGTGGTTTGATACTTTATCAGATAATCCCTCTATGGTTTAATAATCTATGTATAAGCTCTTCATGGTTTGGGTTAAAATATCATCTTTAATTTTTTCATTAAAACTAACGGTCAATAGTATAAAGTCAAAATCAAACTAATAAATTGACAAATTTATGCTTTTATTATTTCTTTTTTCCCTCCAAATGTAAAAAAGAAGAAATTGAAATAAAAACTACATAAATAAGAACTAGAAAATACCATTAAAATTTTGATTTAAAAACCTATAATGATATTTGTAGTAAAAAAAATTGGTATTTTCATTTCTTATTTATTTGTTTTATATTTCGCTTCCATCTTTTTTTATTCTTATTTATTTATTTATTTCCCTTCCATTTGTTTTGTAATTGGGGAAAGTTCATATTTTGTATTTTAAATTATAGGTGACGGGTGTCGAGCCTGTGCAATAATAATTACTAAAAAGTCCTAGTTACAACCACAATTAATTATAAAACAAATCCAAGTACTGGAGCAGGGACCCTTGGTGTGCAATGGGTTACTTGATTCACCCTGTTCCCGAAGAGTGTGCTGAATCCGATATGCCAGAATTGTCTATAAAAGTATTAAATTTGCATACAATGGCAAGTAGGGTCGATTTCACAGGGAGCGGGTAGGAAGTTGTTTCTTTCCAAATCAATAGAACAAAATTGGGGGATATTTGAGGGAATGAAAATGAAAATAAAATAAACAAAATTCAAAAGTTAACTCACCAAGTATAATTTACTAAAAATAGCAATTAATAAAACTCTACCCAAAAGATCAACTTTTCAAGCATGGTCCAGTTAAATGATTATCGATGCAAAGATATTTCATTCATTCGTCACTAGATTGGTTATAGCCATCAACAAGTTCTGACAGCCAATTCTTCCTTACTTTTTCGACAATCAAGGTACGACCATTGACTGTTTCTCTAACCAGAAAACAACCCTAGATACGACCGTAGGAATTTAATTATCCAGTTGCATTAAAATTAGAAGAACTCAATCCTAACCAATAAACACGCTAAGAGGGTTTATTTAAATTAGATCTTACGTTTCCCCAACATAAAGTCAATTATGGTGGTTATCACTAATTATCAACTAAGCGAATAATTACGGACAATTCAGTCAATCGTGATAGTAGGCTATTAGATTAAATAAAATATCCGGCCGTTGATACTCAATAAATAAAATAACCATGAACAATTAATCCAGGAAACGCACGAATAGTAACAAATTGGAAGAAATAGTGAAAGTTCGATTAGATCTCACAGATGTTATGGACCGCGCCTTCACGTCGATCTTTGGGTAGAGGAGAAATCTAGCCGCTCCTCATCATATCGATCTCGCGTGGTTTAATTAATTCCATCCACACAATTGCCAAAGAATTGAGAAAGATGAAATAAATGAAGAGGCAAACGAAAAGTCTTCGTCCTTTTTGTTTCGTGTTCGTACTGAAGAAAAGTAACAGCAAAGTCTAAAGAAAAAGTCGTACGACACAAAAAAGCAAAAGTCGAAAACCAAATCGTCTCCCAAGGGTAGCGAAAGGAAAGCTACCCTAAAATTGTACAGAACCAGAGCAAAAGTAAAACAAAATTACGTCTGACAGCCAAGGAAACGAAACTAAAAGCTAAATCTCCTGATTACAAATGATTCTGGCTTTTTTGAGCCTTTTGTAGCCGCCGCTAGCAGAAGCAAAGAAACGTCCAGGAGCAAGACTTTGTCTAGGGATTTTAATCCCATGCATCTTCGCGGTTCACGTGGACCTGATTTCTTGATTGGCCCTGCTGCTACCAATCCCGTGGGTCCAGCTTTTGGGTATCCTTCTACAGTTTCTGACGTGGGCACGCCCTGAGATGAAATGTCTTCTGGAAATTCTTCCCAAGATACCACTTTTAACACCAACCACTTGCAATTTATACAAACATCAAATATAAGCAAAATCTTAATACTTCGTACAGTGAGTAACCAGAATTATGATCAAATAATATCACAAAATAGTGCCCAACAATTGCTCTATCAAATCCCCCCACACCTAGACAATGTTGCGTTCAAGCATTTCGAAACTCAGAAGCACAATCAAGATAGCAAGAATTTCATAGTCATCTATACTAACACAAACATCCCGCATTTCCGACAATATCGCCAAAATTAGAACATACCAGACAGGTAATTATTTAAAAAATATGAACAGTATTACACGTCACTTTCAAGAAAGTGTATAACTACTAGGAACGCTCAAATCAACATCACAGGATGACATTACCATAGACTAGCACATTTATCACAGCTCCACCACTAAGAAATGAACTAAATACACAAATCAAGGGGACTTTAATAGGGTTGTAATGGTGCTTAAGTAAAAGGTGGGATAAGAAGGTAAAGACAGGGGGTAATGTGTCAAGAGAATGTTCAATATCCACTACATAACCACAACACTTTCCGGAGAAATTTCACAAGCAAGGCGTTTCCTTGTTCTATTCCACTGTGCAAGTGTCAAAACTCTCTCTCTCTTTTTTTTTTTTGAAGAACCTCTTGTAAGGCGTGGGCACGCCCTATAAGACAGAGTCTTCTGTTTACCAGCTTGTCGATAGTTTTTTTTTTCCCGATCTCAGATGCACAAAACTGGCACCATACAACTTCTATTCCGACAACACTTGCGGCCCTAGATTTATTTGCCTTGCACAAGCAATGAAATTCAGACATCTCTTAACGACATAAGGTTGAATAAGAAAGTCTAAAAAGGTCCTGAGTTATCAAACACGACTAACACACAAAAGAGAAGGATAAAATCTCAAATCAGTTCACTATTGGGAGACAAGATGAAGGCGTGGTTTGTAGAAAGTTAAAGAAAGTTAAATCTTAGGGAGAATTGTAATTTTGGTTCCCAATCTATAGTGTATGCCCTTATTGAGTCCCCAATCTATTTCGAAAATTAATTTTGGTCCCTAATCTATTCGATTTTGAGTTAAAGTGGACAATTGACGGAATTCGTTCAATTTCAACCGGAACCATGTCACGTGAGATCACGTGCCGGCACTAAAACCCCCTTTTCAATTTTTTTAATTTTTGAAACACCTTTTTAATATTTTCAGCTCTGTCTTGCCTTTGGACATATTAAACAAAGACATTAATTGCTAAAATTCTCTAATTAAGGACTGGAGCCCACAAAAAAGGTTGAATATCAGACAGAGAAAAAGAAGCTGTCGTCCACTACTTCCTTCTTTCCTCATCTTCTTTCTTCCAACTCAAGAAGAAACCCTAGGAGCTTCAATCCCATTCTAATCAGACAAAACCATTTTCACGTCATTGTGACAAAAAGTTGCAAGATCTGGGCAAAAACTTTATATCAAGTTTCTTCTATTTTCAATTTAGCTCCTCATGGAACCAATGAAAAATTGTGGCTGCAAGCAGCGAGCAATAATGGTTACTTCTTCGACAGACAACAATCCTGAGAGAAGATATTTCACTTGTGTAATGAAGAAGGTATGATTGTCTCTGTTTCTGATTTCGAGATTTCTGTCTCTATTTCTGAGTTTTGTGCTAAAGCTTTATGATGTTGGCTGTGAAGGGTGACAGAGGAAAAGGATGCGATTATTTTGAATGGCATGATCCGAAAATGTGTAAAAAGTCAACAACCCTGATTCCTGGACTACTACATAGCATGAACTCTAAGAATGCTACAATTGAGAGGCTAAGAGCAAGGGAAAGAAAATTACTGGTAGCAATTTTGTTGTTGCTACTTCTACTGGTTATTGTGTTATTGGTGTAAAACTCAAGAAGGTTGGATAGTCTTGGTATCAACTAAGCAGCTCAAGGAAAATGTGTTAAGTATTAAGCTAAGCTAGTTATTGTTTGAACTTAGAGATGAAAGACATTCATCCAGATTGTAATTTTGATTTTTTTTGTTGGAATGGGTGAATGTGTAAGTTAGAATGCACTATCAGGCTAGTACATTCTGTTTATTGAATGAATGCATATATTGGATGTTTCAATCTGCTTTTAATTAGTTGTTTTTAAAGTTCATTTACAATTTAACTAGATGTTGAGTTCTCCTTGAAAAATGAATTAAATTTGAGAAACACCACAAAACAGAATGAAAACTTGAATGAAAGCAGAATGTAAAGAAACACCAGAAAACAGGATGAAGTAAATTCACTGCAATCCCTGCCTAGAATCCTATATAAAACTTGAAGCAGCGAGCTATGATAATTTCCACAATCTAGAACTTCTAGAAAACAGAATGAAAACTGAATTTCAAAATGTGGATGTAAGCAAAATAAAATGGCCAGAATTCACGTTCACAATCTATGTGCAAGATAAAAGAAGAATTTATTGCTAGATTGGAACTAATGAACAAAAGATACATTCAATGATCATTACAACCATCAAATAGACACTGTTTTGTCATTTGCCAGAAATGATTACAAAATGGGCAGAATGTCATGTTCACGCTGGTTTGTTCTCAAGATACATGAGTTCCAAATACCAATGTACAAAAGCTACTAATCTGACAAAAGCTACTACTAATTAAATTCAGCAACACAACCACTCCAAAAGCTGCCGATTAACAACATTAAGTTAGGTACTGATTAGCTACTCTTCAGCTAATTGATGCTGGCTTTTCCTTTGTCATTCCAAGGTGGATTTGAACATCTCTGATCCTAA